ACAAAGTTCCCCCTAAAAATGACTTTAATCACAATTCAACACAACCAAGGACAATATAATCATAACTTTACTCAACAACAATTAATCACAAGAATTCAATTGAAAACCCCCAAATTTGAACAAGAATTTCGAACCTTAAACCCCAATTTTAACCAAATAGCAAAAATTTCAAAATTTTTGAACATAACTACTTGAAAAGAGGTTACAATGGTTCATACAAGCATAATAGGCAACAAGAACAAGATATCATTCAATGAATTTGGAAGAACAACCAATTCTAACGATTAAATGATGAAAAAGGTGTGAAATAAGGACTAAGAAGTGAAGGTGATTAAGAAATACCTGATTTGAGCTTGGAAGAGAGGAAGAATTGAGAGAGATGAAGGTCTGAGGCAGAAGGTCGTTTGCTGCTCTTCGTTCACCGGGCGAGTTTCAGAATGTGTGCATGTGTTTGTGTTTTAAAAGAAAGGGATTTAAAACATTCGTTCCTGAAAGCCGGGCGGGTTTTACGAAAACCGGGCGACTTTCGCTTATCCAGAGTCTGCCCAGTGCCCGTAAGCCGGGCGGCTTACGCATAAGGTGGGCGGGTTTTGATTTAATTAATTATGGAATTTCCTCTGGCGTCCAAAGTCGGGCGGCAATCACAAAAGTCGGGCGACAATCTCACCCGAGAAAAATACCTGGGAAGAAGACCTTTAAGCCGGGCGGCTTATATGAAAGCCGGGCGGCTTTCTCCTATTTTACCTATTTCGCCCCTTTTCTTTTTGATTCCAAACTTCAAATTTCTTGCCTTTTTCTCTTCCCCTACACTTGAATCGCATTGCCCAGAAGCAATAAGAGTACGAAAGATAAACATATAAATAAAAAGGATATGAAATTTGGTTGCCTCCCAATAAGCGCCTTCTTTAACGTCGTTGGCCGGACGTTCTTCGTGATCATTTCTTGAATGGATAGGAAGTGGTGTAGTACTTTTTGTGCAGCTTCAAATGATGGCTATTGACGATAAAAGGCTTATTCTCCCCTTGTTGGATCACCATCTCTCCAAATGGTTGAACCTCTATGATGGTGAATGGTTCCGACCAATGAGACTCCGATTTTTTGGCAGACAATCGAGATTTTGAGTCATAAAGAAGAACTTTATGCCCAACTTGGAGTTCTATTTCACATTTCTAGCTTCTTGTCATGCCATGCTCTGATCTTCTCCTTGTAAATATGAGGATGCTCATGTGCTTCATGCTTTGGAGGATTTTGAAGTATAGTATCAAAATTATTGACACTAAAGCATGTAGAGTTGACGGGAGGACTCTTTAAGGATTCCCAAACGTGGAACTCTCTTGCTCTTCTTCTCCAATACGGAATTTCACTATTCCGTTCTTGACATCAATAAGAGTACCTGCCGTGGCCAAGAATGACCTTCCGAGAATAACCGAAATCTCCATTTCATCCATTTCTAAAATAAGAAAGTCAATAGGGAGATATAATTTGCCAACCTTCACAAAAACATCTTCCACTACTCCAATAGGATAACGGATTGTTACGTTCTATCCGCCAATTGAAGAGCTATAGTTGTAGGTGTAGGCTCCCCCACACCTAACTTTTTGAATAAAGAGGGTGGCATAAGGTTGATGCCCTCCAAGATCACAAAGGAATCTTACCCCCCCCCCCCCAAACTTCCAATAGAACAAAGAATAGTGAAACTCCCGGGGTCCTTCATCTTTGGAGGTAGTTTGTTTTGGAGAATAGCACTACATTCCTCCGTGAGTGGTATGGTTGCAAAATCCGTTAGCTTCTTCTTCTTGTTGAGGATATTTTTGAGGAATTTAGCATATGAGGGTATTTCCGCTATAGCATCGGCGAAAGGGATGTTGATGCTCAACTTGGTGAAAATATCTAGGAACTTCTTGAATTGATTTTTGTCATCCTTCTTCTTTAACTTTTGAGGGTAAAGAATGGGAGGGACATATGTCGCTATGGGTGGTGGTGATGAGGCATGCTCCTCTAGCCCTTCATCTCTTTGCTTCTCCATGGGTGCATCTTGAGTAACCGGCCCCTTCATTTCCTTACCACTTCTCAAAGTGATAGTCATAGTTGTTTCCCTTGGATTAACCTCCGTTGTTGTGGGAAATCTTCCATGCTCTCTAGTAGTTCTCTCTTGTGCAAGCTGACCAATTTGGACGTCCAAATTGTGAATGGAAGACTTGGTATATTGTTCAAGACTGTCCATGCGTTGATTGAGCTTCCTATTTTGGTCCTTAAAGCGTGAATCAAGTTTGGTGAATTGTGCGTGAAGATTCTTGATAGATGCCTCCACTCTGCAATGATTTTCCTCACCTTGAGCTTGGATAGCGGCCACATTCTTTGTGAGAAGTCTCATCATTTCTTCCATGGTAGGTTCCTTGGGTTGACCAAATGGGGGGACTCCGGGTTGATGGCTTGAAGAATTACCTTGCGGCCTATAATTGTTCCCTTGATTGTACCTTTGTTGATTGTTGGGGAAATTATTTCCTCTTTGGTTTACTCGTTGCCCATAAGAGTTCATGTAACTAACATCTTCAAGATGTTGAGATGAGTGACCTTCCACATTGGGGACACTCTACACATTTGCCACTTGTTGAACCCTTCCAATAACGGCTTGCGAAGCCGTGTGAATTGATGCTTGCACATTTTGTTGCATTTTGGTTTGAAATTCTTCAAACCTCTTGTCAAGTTCATGAGTGATAGAGATTTCATTCACTCCCGCCACTTTGATGTCTCCTCCTTGAAGTTGAGGACTTGAAGCAATGGACTCAAGAATCCGTAATGCTTCCGTTTCCGTTTTGTTGCCGATGTAACCTTCCGTTCGGTTGTCTACAATAGCTTGACAAGATGAGTTCAAGCCATTGTAAAAAGTGTCAATTTGGAGGTCAAGAGGAATGCGGTGGTGTGGGCATTCCTTCAACAAGGACTTGAAACGCCTCCATGCGTCTTGAAAAAGTTCTCCAACTTGTTGTTTGAAGTTGAAGATTCGTTGTCGTAACTCTTGCGTCATTGTTGGAGTGTAGTACTTGGAGATGAAAACATTGTATATTTCATCCCAAGTAGCATAGGACGCCGGTGCTTGATCTAGGAACCACCCTCTTGTCTCTCCCTTCAATGTGTAAGGGAAGCATTTGAGCCTAAGGTCACCTTCATTTAGGCCATTCCTTAGAACACCTTGAATGAACCCATAGAATTCGGTGATGAAATTTAATGGATTCTCCCCCGATTGTCCATAGAAGTGCGGCATAGCGTTGAAGTAGCTATTCCGCAACTCATAGTCTCGTGCCGCCTCGCTAAGCACGATGCATGAAGGAGTAGTTGTAATGACGGGCCTCTTCCGTTCATTGAGTGTGGGAAGCATTGTTGGTACTTTTGCTTCCTTCTTCCGATTCCTTCTACAAGCTCTCTCAATCTCAAGATTGATAGGTTCAAGGTTTGTAGAGCCTTGACTTCTCAATAGCATGCACTAAGAGCTTGCCTACACAACAAAATTCAAAACAATACCAAGTGAAACGTAAAGGGGAAAAAATCAGGAATTTTTGTTGAATCGTATAAAACAAGACCGTTTCCCCGGCAACGGCGCCAAAAACTTGATCGGCTATAACTTGCAAGTATACAAGTGTCAATGTAGTAATAAAATCCGGTAAAAATACCGAGTCGAACACGAGGAAACGTTGTTTATATGATTCAAAAGTTGAGAATAGAATTTGTAAAAGACTTAGGAAACGAGTATAGATTTTTTGGTTTTCAAGTGATAATAAAAGTAACCATGGGTTCGGGATTACTCCTAAACAACTCCTAGCGATTAATGTATATTCTTTCTCCAATTCTTATGAGTGGAATGTCACTAAAGTATTCTAACTCCTGTTACGGCAGCGAGATTGTGATTAATTCTACGTGTGAATCCCGTCACGGTTCACATTCATCTAAAATTAACCCCATTGAAGATTAGGACATTATTAAAACCACCGTATTCAATTGAGGTATATTTCTATCCACAATTAGAATATGTCTAACCTTTAAGTGCACGGTTTATAACTCAAGAGTTCATTAACCGTTGTTGAAGCTCCACCGTTGGCTGAAGAGTTCAATCTTGACCGTTGCTTTGATCCATTTGCTTTGTTCTACTTGACTGAAGACAGCATGGTCGGTCTTTTGTCTTCTTGTGACACAGACTGACTTTTACTCAACTTGCTATTCTTCTTCTCAATGAACAAGATAAAGATAAATATCTTTTATTCTTATATTCGAAGGGTTGAGTATATAGGCTGAGTATTGTTCAATGCTTCCTTACAATAAAATTATTTGCTTTTGGTAAAATAAGTTTATAAGAAATTTTCATAGTGTGGTAAAAATTTATTGTAAAATTACTTTATATCTTTTTGTCATTTCAGACTGAAATAAAAGGTCTTTGGTGTTATGGGAGGCACGACATATCTACAATGCCAAGCCACAACTACATGATTTGACATTGATGTCTAGTTTCAAGTTTCAGTCATATTTACAATTTCACTCACTTATACACTTTTTATTATTTGTTTTTTGTTGTTCATTCATTTTGAATTTCTTAGAGAAATTGTATACTTTTCGTATCGGGTTAGAAGTAAAGATCGACATGATCAAATTAACTTTTCATTCGTTCGTGACATGGTTAACGACTATAATTGTGTACAAATGTACATCATGAATTGTAATTGTGTCCATATGGTAATAACATGTATGAACATTTATAGTCACTAATAATCATCTAGTAATATTTTGATCCATGACTTTTTATAAGTAATATCAAATAAAACCCCATTATCGCCACCAACTAATTAAACCTAATTTAATATTGAAATTTTTATTATAATTTACGTTTATTTGAGATAATTAATAAAAATGAATAAGAAAAAATTATCCCATTTCAAAAAAAAAAAACTATCAACAGTCAACACTTGGGACTTTGCAAGTGCTTGAAAAAGATGACTCTCCAACGAATCAAAATTTTAACGGCGTTGATTGGCCGAGTTATATCCAGATTCCAGACGAGGATAAGGTCACATTCCTAATTCATTCACTCAAAAATAACAGAAGCAGCCACACCATTGCATCATCCTCATCACCTTTCTGCAGCCTGAGAAGTTCGATCAATGGCCCATGCCATGACTTCAACGAGTGGACTTCTTGGCGCTTCTCTAGCAGCGCCGGACGGCGGCAGCCTTCAGAGAAGTGGCGGGTCAGTCCGATGGAGCTCCGGCAGAGTGGGTTTGGCAATCAGACCAAGATTGTCGGTCGTTAGAGCCCAGCAAGGGTCCGGCGAGGAAGAAACCAGCCGGCGGGCACTTCTGGGGGTTGCTGCTGCCGGATTGGCTTCTGGGTCTTTTCTTCAAGCTGGTCTTGCTGAGACCAGGCCAATCAAGATTGGACCTCCACCCCCACCATCTGGTGGACTCCGTAAGTCCCCATTTCTCTTCTTATATGATCACGTTATAAGCCCGTTTGGTAGGATTATTTGATTGAACTGAAATCGATAATTATGACAGAAAAAAGTTTCAAACTTTATGTGTAACTGGTGGGAAAGATGAGGTAATGAGTCATACTTTAAGAAAACCAAGTAACCAACTATGGTTATCTGTTAAAATATGTGCGTTGTTTTTGTAAATATCCTGAATGTGAGAAGATTAAAACGAACTACTAAAATCTCTAGAATGAACAATGGATCACAAATTTATACGAGTATTTTCTTAATTAGTCCATCCTTTACACACTCCCCAACTCGAAATTATTGTTTACTTTGATCATGTATGAGTTTTAAGAAAGTGAAAGCAGTTTGCTAGAGATTGATTTGAAGATATAGAAACATTGTAAACTACATATTGTTTTTTTTTTTTGAGAAATGGATAATAATTTTGATACCAAGAAGACAATTTAGGAAGAGGGGATTTATTAGTAGTTTCATATTGTCTCAATTAATAAATTACTCTGCATTTCGTACGTGTAGTCCTGGTTAGTCTATAGTTGAGAAATTTCTTATGTAGGAGTAAAACATATACAAAATGCATAAATAGGATCATCATTCTTTTCTTCCTAAAATAGGACCTATTGACTCTTCATTAGGGAAGTTTTATACTTTTGATACGATCAAATAAGTCCTATTTTAGGAATTAAACATAAGCGATGCTATTTGTGCATTTTATCTATGGTTTAGTCTGATTTGGAGCAGTTTCTAGACCTTCAAAACTTTCATACGTTGTATCCTAATGTACCACAGATTATTTATAGATCACAATACTAAACTACCCATAACATGTTCGAGGGTTACAGTTTTTTTATTTTCATTTTTTTGTGATTTACAAACATAACATATTGGCAACAATTTAAAAAAGAAAGATTTTTTTCCACTTTTAGTCCTTTAACTATTGTGTGGATGACATATAGTGTCCTCATTTTTGAAAAATTCTCCTTTAATGTCCTTCAACCCTTCCACTTTTACTTATGTGATGACTGTGAAAGAAACTCTTTAGCGGTCTCCAGCTATTGTGGGTGTTGCACTTCTGGTCCAGTGTATATTGTGGTGAATTCAAACATGGTGTGAAAAGTGTAATTTTGAGAATATTCAGAAGCCCAAAAGTGACAATTCAAAGACACATCAAAAGTGTGACAGGATAGCGGAGGACTAAAATGACAAAATTTGTTAAAGAAAATGTGATATTTGATATAGAATATATGTGTGTGGTACTGGATTTGCAGCTGGAACATTGAACTCAGACGAAGCACGAGACCTTAAGAAGCCTCTGAAGGAGAGGTTCTACCTTCAACCATTGCCACCATCAGAAGCAGCTGCAAGGGTAAAAGAGTCAGCCAAGGACATAATCAATGTGAAGGGTCTGATTGAGAAGAAGCAATGGCCTTATGTTCAAATGGACCTTCGTTCTAAGGCAGAGTACCTTCGCTATGATCTCAACACTGTCATCTCCTCTAAGCCCAAAGAGGAGAAGAAAATGCTCAAGGATTTGACCTCAAGACTCTACCAAACCATCAGCGATGTAAGTTTAAGTGCCAACACAAATTTGGGTTCTCTACTCGGCCTTTTGACCGCCCGATTGTGTGGGGTCCTGGGTCCCCCAAGCAGAGTGCCTGGGGCCATTAAATGTGCATGTGACTCACCAACTTGTGCTGGGTCCCACATGTCAAATGGTTCCCAAGCACCAAAAATGCTGCTCAGGTGGTCCAACCAAGCTGAGAAACCGAATCTGTGTGACACAAGCTTGTATATTTCTATCTTGACTTAAAACCCATTTGGTAGCCAAAACAGGCTTATTCTACTTATATGCTTGGAATGCCATGTAGTAGTTTGTAAGTTTATTATTGGCTTTTCAAAAAGAAATCTTTTAGAAGTTTTTTATGGTTGAGCCAATTTAAATAAAATGCATGACCATAGCTAATAATCATCATGGATTACCTTTCAAATAAGCTGATGAGGTATTTTGTCCAAGTTCCTTTAAATTATTTTTTAACGTATCCTTTCACTTCACAATGCATTATGTTTCTAGCCTATCTTAACATTAGTAGTTTTTACTAAACAATATACGTAGTATGTTGATATGAACTATCATATGTATTGCAGAAGTTACAGAGTATGAGCTATTATTCTTGTTATTAAAAATCGACATATTAGCTATTAATTGATTCATCAGCTTGCTTTGCTAACCAAATATAGCTTATTTTGGTTAAATGGATTTTTGGCAAGTGATTCTTTTTTGCATAAACTCAACCAAACGAGCAAGTGATTTATTTTTTCATAAAACTCAACCAAATGATATTCATTAGGGGAATAACCTCAGCCAATCCGGCTTTTGGTTGCATGGTAATAATGCCCGACAGATTTGGTTTACTTCTTTTGCTCTTCAATTTTACAGCTTGATTATGCTGCAAAGACCAAGGATGGTAATAAAGCAGAGAAATACTACGAGGAAACGGTGTCGGCTTTGAATGATGTTCTTTCAAAGCTTGGGTAGCATATCCCATTACTCCATTAGTGTACTCATTTTGCAGCGTTATTTAAGAAATCATTATTCAATTGTATTAAATGAACGACTGGTTTGAATCCAAATATGAAGCCTTATTGAAATTACTGCAGCAAAGAAGTTTTACTCTCCCTCAGTCCCTACTTTGACCAACCATTTCACTGATAAAGTGACAAAGATTTAGGGAAAAGTATTACTCCCTCCCTTCAAATTGTTTTTTTAAACGGTTGCCGGAGTTGGTTGAGCATAAAAGTTCTTCTAGTAATAGTAATAACAATTTATATATCTAACTAGATAAAAAATGATTACAAGTTTTAGAAAAACAAATTATAAAATGATCACAAATCGATAACTCAAAATTGTAGAACAAAATGAGCTTATGTGATCTAGAATAGCAAAGTTGAAATTATTAAATTGTAGAACAAAATGAACTTATGTGATCTAGAAAAGCAAAATTGAAATCATTAAATTGTAGAACAGAATAATTTATGTTTATCTAAAAAAATTGAAAATCATTTTGAAATTGAAGAAGTAGTTTTTAGTTATTTGCCTTAGCCGCTAGTCCGCTATGTACCATTTGCGTATTGATTTGCGAAACCAAAATGACATCACATTTGGCTTCTTTGCTAAGGAGATGATACAGGTGGTAGATAGATATTCTAACATGGAATCAATAAGCATCAAGTCGTTGTAGTATAGTGGTAAGTATTCCCGCCTGTCACGCGGGTGACCCGGGTTCGATCCCCGGCAACGGCGTGTTTTTTATAGTTTTTGAAAGCGGTGGGCTTTACAGCTTGGTTGCAAAAACTATCCGACCTGCCGGATTCGAACCAGCGACCTAAGGATATCTGACAAGCTATTGCAAACTACAGTCCTCCGCTCTGCCAACTGAGCTAAGGTCGGTATTGTTCAAATTTTAATTTTGAGCCTACTAATTACTTTGTAACACTCTAGAGTTTCATTTTCAACATTATCATTATTTTGACACAACCGTCACAACGTCCAACATGAGTAAACATGTCATGTCCAATTTGAAAATTTGTATACATATATGAGCCTGTTCGTTGGACCAAGATTGAAGTTAGCAAAATTTTGATTGAATTGGTCGAATTTTCTCGATTATAAAAGTTATGTTTAAAATATATTGTATTCATGAAATCAGGGGCGGCCCTGGGGGGGGGGGGGCAGGTGGGGCGGGTGCCCTAGGCCAAAAAAAAATGAAAATTTTTTAGGCCCAGAATTATTTCTTTATAGTATATTTGAGTAGGCTGAGTTTTAACCCAAAATTAATCATTTTGTACAAGTTCAGGAAGCCCAAGAACGCAAAAGGCCCAAAATTGAAAAAAAGGAAGAACTAACGTGCAGTCCAATTAGTTAAATTTATAAATTTAACTAATTGATTAGCTATATTAAGTATTGAGCATAATAATGTCTTAGAAAAGCTTGATTATGACGCTATAGTTGATGACACCGACCTTAGCAAGTGTATTGTATCGGGACGTTATTTATCATTAAATAATTTTTTATTTAGTTATTTTGAAAACATTATTCGACTATGTTTAATTTAACGAATTCAAGTATTTTCTTTATTCTAAAGGTATTTAAATATTATTATTTTGCATTTTTATTTAGGTAGAAAAGTGTTTTACAATTTTTTTTAAAATTAGGCCCATTTTTTTATTGTTCGCCCCTAGGCCTTCGAATATCCAGGGCCGCCCCTGCATGAAATAAAGAAAAGTTACATATAAATCGTGGTCAAAACAGAGTTATCAACTTTACGTGGTCATTATGACAGTAATTTCTAAATCACAAAAATGTTCCGTCCACGCTTATGCGTGCAGAGAGTGGCGCACGGATTTCTTCTAATTTCGGCAATTGAGGGTTTAATTTTCTAGACAAAGAAATCTGACGTCTACGCATTCAGAGTTGTGCTTATGCGAATGATTTATTCATCCGATTAAAAAGCGGTCATTATCTCTCTAATTATTCTTATTTTAGGAATAAAAATATACGAGTATTGAACACGTTTAGAGTAATTTCTTAAAAATAAAAGGAAAAATTAACAAAAAATCCTCTAGTGTATAACAAAAACACTCGTTTTGGAAATTTAGACGGTCACCTACAATTTCTCCAGCTACTCATTGATGTGGCAGTTATATGGCACAAACTTTTCTTTTTTCATTCCATGTGGCAATCATTTTCATTTTTTTAAATAAAGCCGATCTCTTCCATTATATTCCTCTATGACTTCCTCTCTGATGAGGTGATGAACATCTAGCACTCCCAACAAAATTGGAGCTACATTCATCCTATGGTCTTTGCCGGGGTATTCTTTTACTATGGGATCCTAACAAAATTAATCTCTTTGGGATAGAGAGATCATCTCAAGCACTTCACTGTAATGTTAAAATAAATGATTGATGTGTCATCATTTCGGTAATTTATATTAGACCAAATGTGGCTGCAAAGATAGGTGTTGGAGTGAAATGCAAGAATTTCACAATCGATATACATCTCCTTGGATTGCATTGGGAGATCTCAATGATATTCTGGGCAACTGAACAGTGCAGTTGTAGTCTCCTGTGGAATGCTATAGACAATTTTTGGGATCAACTCAAGAACTATGAGCTCTTTGATGTTAGTACTTAGGGAACACTTTTTACCTTGATCAAATGTAAAGGGACACAGGTAGTTCTCCGAAAGAAGCTGGATAGAAGGCTTTGGAATATGGAAGCAAATGCTATTTTCCCAGAAGGAAAAGTTTTTAACCTACCTAGAATGCACTCTAAATATCACCCTATCTTATTCTTTAGTAATATGGACCTTTATTTGACAAGGAATCAACCGGTTCGTTTCGAGGCAACTTGGTTAATGATGTTGAGATAACTTAATACGCTACCTAATTGTATCTACTTAGCTATTAAGTGATAAGAATGACAGGCTGTATATAACAAATTCTGTTAAAAGATAGTTAGTTATGATATTCTGTATATATACTAGCTAGCTCATCAGTTGTAAACACGGTTCATGAATAATAATCTTTCTTTCTCTCCAAGTTTATCGTCTCCTTCATCTTGCTGCCTAGACTCCTTTGTTGCAGGTCTCATGTAAGATTCAACAATGGAGAATACTTTGTACATGGTATCAGTCGCGTAAGGACAGCGATCCTGACAAATCTCATAAGCTTCCGCATAATCTTCTTCTCATATTTCCAAAAACATCATGCCTTCTTCAGAACAAAATTCACAGAATTACGAATTTCTGAATGATCCGCTTTATCTTTCTCCGTCAGATCAACCTAACTTGATCTTGATCAATACGAAATTGACTGATCAAAATTACATCTACTGGAAACGCGAAGCCTATCTCGCGCTAATTTCCAAGAACAAAGATGGTTTTGTTGATGGAACAGTCGAGAAACCTGACAAGAAGGACAAAACATATCATCAATGGATCAGATGCGACATTATTGTTACAAGCTGGTTGAAGAACTCGATTGAACAAAACATCAAAGATACTGTAAACTACATCTCATCTGCGAGAGATCTCTGGAAAGAGCTACATGAGAGGTATGGTCAAGCAAATGCTCTTGAAATATATCAACTCAGAAAAGATTTAAGTTCTATTTCTCAAGAAAACAAACCTCTGATTGAGTATTATGGCCAATTGAAACGAACTTGGGAGAGTATTGATACTTTAGATCCTATTCCTCTATGTACTTGTGGTGTTCTTAACAATTGCACATGTTCATTGTTAAAAAGACTTCTTGAAAGGGAAAACAATGGTAAACTCATACAATTGCTGATGGGACTTAATAGTGGCTATGAGAATGTTAAAACAAATGTTCTATCCATGGATCCTTTACCTCTTGTCAACAAAGCTCTAGGTCTATTACAGAAAATTGAGCGTCAAAAGCAGATTTCTGATGCTGTGGATGTTTTATCTGAAGCAAATGCGTATGCGGCTAAACAATCAGATTATAGACAAAATGATTGGAAGAAACCTAGGTACAGTTCTGAAAATGATTTAAGAAATTCAAAACAATGTTCCTATTGCCATCAAAAAGGACATTTCCAAGAGGAATGCTATAAACTCCAAGACTGCTCGTATTGTGGCAAAAGAGGACATATCAAGGATATTTGCTTCACTTACAAGAGACATCAAGAGAATAATCAAATTTTTGGCCAAGGATATAAGCCTGGCAAAACTAATAACAATCCAAGGAATTCTGGGTTTAGAAGAGCTGCAAATGCTGATGTTTTACAGTATGAAGAGGAAGAAGAACTTACTCCACTTGAAGAACCCTCTGATTACATGGAAGAAAGAAACACACGTCAGAAAAGCTTTGCCTCTTCTGATGATATACACCATCCTGAAATGGATTCACAAATGATGAAAGGTATTGTCAACAATGTTGTTCAGCAAGTCCTAAAGGTCATGACAGATCAGAATTCTTCAATCACAAAATTTCCTACTATGGCCTCTACTTCTTCAGCAAATTTTGCAGGTACAATCATTTGTCATAAAGCTTATTTAGCTATAAATAAGAATGATCCTAGAGACTGGATTGTAGATACAGGTGCTTCAGATCACATGACATCACAGGTTGATAGATTATATGATGTTAGAACTCTGTCAAAACCTATCTTAGTAGGTTTACCTGATGGCACAACTAAAACAGTGACTCAAATTGGAAAAATAAAGATCAATGGAGCTATTACCTTGACAAATGTTCTGATAGTTCCAGATTTTCAGCAAAACCTGTTATCTGTTGGAAGAATTGTTGAAACATCAAACATGTTTGTCATTTTTACACCTACTGATTGCATTTTCCAGGACCGTTCAAGTAATGAAGTGTTTGCTACAGCTCGCAGATCTGGTGACCTTTACTGGCTCAGGCAGGTCTTTGGACTTGGTTCTATATCTGCCAAGATATCTACTCATAGTCAAGACAAGAATAGTTTAGAAATGAATAAATGTAGTAACATTTCTACTGTTTCCAATAATTCTTGTAATCATTCTAAGGAAGTTAGTTTGTTACATGCTAGACTAGGCCATACTTCTAGTGACAAATTGAGGCATATTCTGGGAACAAGTTCTCTTGCAATAAAGAACTTCTTTTGTGAAACATGTATTCTTGCTAAGCATCACATGTTATCATTCAATAAAAGTGTTTCTCATGCTTCCTGTATTTTCAAACTTGTGCATATGGATCTGTGGGGACCTTACAAAGTTACTGCCATCAATGGAGCCAAATATTTTCTCACAATTTTGGATGATCACTCTAGATGCACCTGGACATTCCTTATTCAGAACAAACAACAAGTGCCTTCTTTGATTAAAGATTTTATTGCATATGTTGAAAATCAGTTTTCAACTACTATCAAATTCATAAGAACAGATAATGGGACAGAATTCTTTCAACAACAATGTTCTGAATTCTTTAAAGCAAAAGGAATTGTTCACCAAAGAAGTGTAGCAGGAAGGCCCCAACAAAATGGCAGAGTAGAAAGAAAACACAGACATTTAGTTGAAACAGCCAGGGCATTAAAAATTCATTCTGGGGTGTCAGCAAAGTTCTGGGGAGATTGTATCCTAACTGCCACATACCTGATCAATAAAATGCCATCTACTGTGCTTAATTGGAAGACTCCATTTGAGATATTATTCAAAGAAAAACCTAACTATGATGAGCTCAGAGTCTTTGGCACATTATGTTATGCCAGTATGCCAAATACACACAGAGATAAGTTTTCTACAAAAGCAAGAAGATGCATCTTCATTGGTTATCCTTTTGGTCAGAAGGGATACAAGCTTTATGACTTAGATTCACATCAAATTTTGATAAGCAGAGATGTTGTGTTCAAAGAAGAAATATTTCCTTTTAAAAATACTTCATCCAGCCCAGATGACACACCTACAGACCACATGGTTGATCCTGTCTCATCTCAACAGATTGTTCATTCTACTACACAACCTACTGGTTCTCTCACAGAAAATGGATCTACATCACTGAACCAATCCCAAACTGAAGATGCCTCAACCTATGGAATGTCAGGTTCTGACCAACCTGAAACTACCCTCAGAAAATCAACCAGGCAAAAACATCTTTCAGTAAAACTTCAAGGTTATCATTGTCCTATAAAATTACCAGCTCAACATTCTGCAACATCATCATCTTTTCATGCTCAACTTATCCAAGAATTGAAGGATTTTGATTCAGATTATGTGTCATCTTTGGAAAATGTGATAACTGAATTTGAACCTTATTCATATCAACAGGCAGCCACTGATGAAAGATGGAATCTAGCAATGCAAAAGGAGTTACAAGCCCTAGAAGATAATGGTACTTGGGAACTCACTTCTCTACCTCCAGGGAAAAAGACTATTGACTCTAAATGGATTTACAAGATTAAATTCAAACCAGATGGATCAGTTGACAGATTTAAAGCCAGGCTAGTTGCTAAGGGTTTTAGACAGGTCAAAGACAAGGATTACAAACACACTTTTTCACCAGTTGCTAAATTCACTACTGTCAGAACATTAATAGCTTTGGCAGCATACAAACAATGGTCACTTCACCAATTGGATATCAACAATGCTTTCCTACATGGTTTCATAGAAGAAGAAGTTTATATGACACCTCCCCAAGGATATACACAAGCTGCTTCTGGACAAGTTTGCAAACTGAAAAGATCACTATATGGTCTTAAACAAGCTTCAAGACAATGGAACATTGAAATCACCAAGTATCTTAAGAGTCTTGATTTTGTTCAGTCCAAACAAGATTATTCTCTATTCACTAGATATAGAGATCAGTCTCACACATTTCTGATCATTCTAATCTATGTTGATGATCTTCTAATTACTGGAAACTGTCCTCAAGAGATTCAAGAAATAAAGCAAGGACTAGACAGTACCTTTACTATTAAAGATCTTGGTGAGGCCAGATATTTTTTGGGAATTGAAATTGCTAGAAACCAAACTGGTATTCTATTGAATCAAAGGAAATACATAATTGATATTCTCAAGGATCTGAAAATGGAAAATTGCCAGGAAACTGAATTTCCTTTACCCAGAGGTTTGAAGTTAAGTATTGATCAAGGTGATTTGTTAGATCAGCCTGAAGTTTATAGAAGGATTATTGGAAGACTGCTTTATCTTAATGTCACACGACCTGACATTTCATATTCAGTTCAACACCTAAGTCAATTCCTTTCTCAGCCTAGATTACCACATTTTCAAGCTGCTCTCCATGTTGTAAAATATCTAAAAGGCACTATCAATGTTGGCTTATTCTATCCTGCTGTTTCTACATTGACATTAACAGCATTCTCAGATGCTGACTGGGGGCAATGTCAATTCTCTTGTAGATCTCTTAGTGGTTATTGCATATTCTTGGGAGATTCTTTAGTCTCTTGGAAAACAAAGAAGCAGAAAACAGTAAGCAAAAGTACTGCAGAGTCTGAATACAGAAGCATGTCGTATACAACTAGTGAAATGGTTTGGTTACATGAGCTTCTTAAAGATCTCAGGGTTAGTGTACCATTACCTATTCCACTTCATTGTGACAACAAAGCAGCTCAATATATTGCAGCAAACCCTGTGTTTCATGAAAAAACCAAGCATTTAAAGATTGATTGTCATTATGTACGTGACAAGTTGCTCGAAGGATTTCTTACAACTCAACACATATCTTCACACATGCAGATTGCTGACATCATGACCAAACCACTGGGAGCACAACAACATAAAATACTTTCTTCCAAGCTTGGGCTTCAGTATTTCCCACCCTGAATCCAGCTTGAGGGGGGGATGTTGAGATAACTTAATACGCTACCTAATTGTATCTACTTAGCTATTAAGTGATAAGAATGACAGGCTGTATATAACAAATTCTGTTAAAAGATAGTTAGTTATGATATTCTGTATATATACTAGCTAGCTCATCAGTTGTAAACACGGTTCATGAATAATAATCTTTCTTTCTCTCTAAGTTTATCGTCTCCTTCATCTTGCTGCCTAGACTCCTTTGTTGCAGGTCTCATGTAAGATTCAACAATGGAGAATACTTTGTACAAATGAACATGGCCTTACGCCAAATTTTCTAGATAACATGCCACACACCAGGTTATGCAAGTCAGTAAGGATTGGAGCTAGGCAGTTTTTGGAGATGTGTTCCGCCAAAAACGTCATTTGAGAGTTAGGATTCAAGGGATTCAAAACTCTCGAAACTATTCTAATTCACATTCAGAATAACCTCTAGAACATTCGTTGGAAGAGGAATATAATATCATTTTGGATATAGAAAAGATGATTTGGTTCTAGAAGGCTCGAGTCGACTGGATTTGGGGAGGTGATCAAAATACTACTTATTTCCATAAGTCAGCCATGATATGCAGAAATAGGAACTCTGTTGGGCGCTTTAAAATCACTAACACCTGACAACTAAACAAGTGGAGATGGCTAATCATACGAAAAGGGTACTTCACTAATTTATTTGGAAACTCCAAGAGTTTCAGTATTCATCAAGTGGCTGGTTTGGAGTGTACAAATATGAAGGGAGCAAAAAATCAATTTGATGAAAGAGGCTGATTTAGAAGAAGTAAAGACCGCAGTCTTTAGTTTGAAAAGTTTTAGCAGTCTGGGGTCAGGATGGTTTGCAATTGATCATGTACATGAAATATTGGGACATAGTTGGACATACCATTACACACTTTGTTAATAGTGCTCTTCACACAGGTTACATCCCACCATAGATCCTTATAGCTAATATGGTTCTTATCTCAAAAGTTGATGCTCCAGAGGTGGCTAGTCACTCTAGACCCATCATGTTATTCAACGTCATATATAAGCTGATCTCTAAACTTCTAGTTAATCGTATGAGGAGTGGATTCAGAACATTTTTGGCACAACATTGTTCTGGGTAGAAGTACGTACGACATATAATATTCTTATCACCCAAGAGATATTGCACTCTTTTGAATCCAAGAAGGAGAGGAAGGGCGATATGATTATGAAATTAGATCTACAAAACTTTGATTTGAATTTCTTGGATAAGACTTTGATAGACTTTGGCTTCCCCATGGAATTTAACGGACATCTATGAATTCAATAAGAGTAAGGGTTGACACAAAAAACCGTAACCGATGAATCGAACCGGAAAACCGGAAAACCTTTATTTTTTTCGGTTAACCGAATCGAAAATTTTAAAATTCACGGTACGGTTAGCCGATCGGAGGAAAAAATGGTTAGCGGTACGGTTATGATTTAGAAATTATCCTCCACGGTAAACCAATAACCGTGAATTCATATGCAGACACACGAACAATTATTTCTGATGAAGGTATTCACGTCCATAGAATATACGCACTTTACTACCAGTTACATAGCTCTACGTACTGGAATGAACATAATTTTAGACAAATGCTAAGCTACTGACATGTATTCATTTTGTTTAGTACTACGTAATACACGTATAAATAGTATAATCGACCGATTAACCGTATAATAATTAAGAGTGCTGTTCGAGTCAGGCGGTCTGACCGGACAGCCCTGTGCGGACTTCCCCGTTTGGGGGTCTTTCTGGTGGAATTTTTTTATGAAATTTTTTGAGCATGTTCCTCATCAAGTCTAGTTTATCCATACCAAATTTCAGCTCAAAATTCGATCGAGAAGACAGTCAAATAAATTCTTGAAACATACTGCTATTTATATATGCGCAAAATGACCAATATGTTTCAATAATTTATTTGACTGCCTTCCGGATCGAATTTTGAGCTGAAATTTGGTATGGATAAACAAGACTTGATGAAGAACATGATCAAAAAATTTCATAAAACAATTCCACTAATTACATAAATATGACCAAAATAAAGATGGTTTACAAAAATATGATTCATTACTAGAGTAGTAATGAAATCATAGTAATTCATGTTCAAGTTTTGAACTTTAGTTACCACAGCACTACGTTGTAGTAATGAATAGTCATATGTAAATAAGTTTTATTTTAGTAATATTCTCGTAAAAAACCCAAAAAATTAATATAGGAACATACAATATGGAAAAGCAATACTAGTATTGCACATGGTATAGGAACATACAATATGGAAAAGTAACAATAGGCTTAAGGTCAAATAGGTACTCGAACTAACTTAAAAAGTGCAAATCACCCATTGTATAGGAGG